TTTTGGTCACCACAATATAAATAAGAAGTTGAGACACTAGAAAGAGTGCAGAGAAGAGGAAATTGATGATACGGAGGTTGGAGGCTAAAACGTATGAAGAATGGTTGCAGGAATTGGATAATGTTTAACCTAGTGAAAAGAAGGACTAGGGGAGACAGGATAGCAGTGTATTTGAAAGGCTATCACAAAGATGTGGCAACCTATTTTCCAAAGCACCAGAAAGCAAGGCAATAAGCAATGGATGGAAACTAATCAAGAAGAGAAGCAACCTGGAACTAAGGAGAAATTTCCTAACAGTGAGAAAAATTAATCAGTAGAATGCATTCCCTTCAGAAATTGTGGGTACTCTATCATTATCGTCATTAAAATGTTTCACTATTTTAAGAAGAGACTGGACAGCCTTTTGTCTGAAATGCTATAGGGTTTCCTGCTTGAACAGCGGGTTGGACTAGAAGACCCCCAAGGTAGCTTCCAATTGTTACACTATGTTGAATAGCGGAGTCCATCTACCTTTGATCCAATGCCTGGGAAATAGCCTTCAATGCCTTGTGAAAGGATGGTGGGATTGGAGTGTTCCCTTCTTTCTGCTGCTCCATAGAGCAGATGCTGCCACTGAAAAGGCAGGATTTCATAATCCAGCAAGATGGCATTGTTTAATAGAAGGGACCTGGGCACGCCCTTGCTGATAGATTTGATGGAGCAGGCAGGAAAGAGAAAGGTGTTCCTGTAAGTAGCCTGGCCCTATACCATGGAGGGCATTATAGATGTAGACTAGCACCTTGAACTGCACTTGGAAGCCTACTCTGAGCCAAAGCAGTATGGAGAGCAGCAATGTTACATAGGCATAACAAGAAATGCAAAAACTGCCCACACCACTGCTGCATCCAATCAACCTCTAATGAAACTATTGCTGATTACAATTTTTGTGAATGTATAAATCACATCAGTTGTAATTGGTTATCAGATGCATAGCAATCTAAAACCAGATTACACAGGATGAACATCATGCTTAATATTGTCCATAATCTATGTCCTTGGGTTCAGTATTTTTGCCTCTCTGTTTAACAAGGAAATGACATGACAGACTGCACATCAGCAGGATATTTTCCAGTCTTCCAAATTGTGATTATATTATATTATATTCCTCAACGAAGGTGACAAGAAAAGTTTCAGACTTCCAATTGCATTGGGGCAAAGAATGCAATGTGGATCTTATATCACTTAATGGCATAACCATTTGGAGTAGGAGGTTTTTTTGTTCTCATAGATTTAATTTTGTATAATATTTTTGGAGCTAAACAGGCATCTTAATTATTTATATAGTTTAATCATTATTTTACAGCCCTCCATTCAGTTTACTTCAAATGTCATGAATAAAATGGGAATCCGTATTTTACTCCAAATAAGAGATAAAGTCCATTGTTTTGAAAGATATTAAAGTCAGTCAGTTGTTTCTGTACATGCATTAGCAATATTTCTTTCTTACATATGCAGTACTGTTTCTGTTGGTAATCTTGGCTTACCAGTGTAAATTATAATACATTCTCCATTAGGGTTTCAAAGGCATTTGAGATGGATAGAGAAGGATCTTGGTTTTTTATTTATTTTTGCAATTATTTTACATTGGTTTTGAAGGGCTCCAGAGTAGACAGAAAAAGAGAGTAAATCTGAGCTAAAATATTACATTTGATTGAAAAATTGCCCAAAGGTATCCATTATGTACTGTGTGTTTGTGAAGACTGCTATAAAAAAATCAAGTGTCAGATATTTATAAAATAAAGACTAACTGAAGAAATTGTGAATTGCAGTGCAACTAAAATGTTAGTAGCAAAACAGAAATTGGGCAAGAAAATAGGAAAATGGTGAGGCAACACAACTCAATATAGCAGCAATGAAGTGGCATCTTTATCTTCATGCAATCCTCATGTGGTCTTATTCCATCCAAAGTGTAAATAAGATCAGCAACTAACACATGAACACAAGCTTCAAAGCCAGTGATAGTTATCTGTGACGATTTCATAGCCATAAGAGAGCTAACAAACAAAACTTTGTTGAAGGTTTAAGGAAGCTATTCGAGAAAACATTAAATGCACTAATCCAGTGGTCTCCAACCTTGGCAACTTTAAGACCTGTGGACTTCAATTCCCAGAGTTCCTCAGCCAGCAAAGCTGGCTGAGGAACTCTAGGAGTTGAAGTCCACAGGTCTTAAAGCTGCCAAGGTTGGAGACCACTGCGACTAATCTACCAAAAAAACCCAACTAATAAAACATATGAAAAAGTAAACGACATTAAAAGCAGACAAAAAAACAACCCCTTTAAAAACCCTCCTGCCTTTGGGGGACACCGAACGTGGGGTACACTCAAATTTCAGTAAAGGAACTGATCCCTCAAACTGATCCCTCAAACTGATCCCTTACCCAGGTCAGGCTATCCCCTCTAAGAACTAGTGGGGGTGGAGCATGGTGAATGAAAGGCTTTGAAAAGATTGTCACATGACTTCACAATCAGGAACAATTGAACAGCAGGGAGGGGCTGTAATGATTTTCATATCAGTGTTCAGGGATTAAAATTAGTGGAAAATTAGTGGAAAAGATCATGTCATTCCTTTTCTTGCTTTGCTGCAAATGGACTTCAATCCACTTGTGGACTGTCTTTGGAGGAAAATCAGGAAAACTCAGTATCATCTTTGTTTTTCAAAGATTTCAGTCAAGAATTCTGATTTGTCGTAACAAATGCAGAATTTAGTCCTGTGTTATAACTCTCAGGTTGCTTGCAACAATTAGATTGTTATTTTGATCCAAATAGAATCAGAAACCCATAAAACAGTTTCAAGTGTATATTCTCAGGTAGTGATAAGCTCTTACCCCTTTTTCTATGAAAGTTGCTATACTTGCTTACTACTGTAAAGAATATTTAGACAATCTAAATTATGGCTGTGGTAAAAATTCTGTAGGCAGATCGCTTCACTCTTTTAATTTCCAAAAACCATTTGTCATACAAGTTGTTTATCAGATTTTCAAATGGAATATTTCTTGTTTCATATGAACCAATCACCAGGTTTATGATTTAAAAAAAAACACTAAAATATATACTGTGAACCTCTGGTTTAAATTCTCAAATGTTGATACAAATTCTCCACTGAAATTTTTGTCTGCATAAATACGATCATTCTACAATGTATATATCACAGAAAAGTCTTGCTAAAAAAGTGAAAAGTTTAGCTTTGTTTTCCCTTTCTATAAAAGGGGGATGGACACAGCAGAGTTTTTCTGCTTTGCTGCCAGATTAACATACTCCTCTCCCTTCATTTTCTTTGCCATCTCAATTTCAGAGCTACCTTAAATCAAATGTAAAAAAAACCTTGGCCAGTAATTTAGACAAAAAATGTCTTTTGCTTACCAAGAGAATGATCTAAGTCATAATATCATCATTTAAAGATATTAGAATCCAACTAAACCGGAAACTAGAGGTTGAAAGAGGCATGAAATTCAAACAACTAAAATTATGTTTCAGAACTATTTAAGAAAAGCTACCAATTTAAATATCCCTAGGTGCTTTGTCAGATAGTCAAGCTTCTAGTGATTATTGCAAACCATACAGAGCATCAAAGAAGATAGCAAAATTAATATCTGACCATTTCAGCAGATAATTTGATCTGTCCAAGAACTAAAGGAGAAAAAAAGCAATACTATTAAGAACCCAAGACATTGACTTATGTGATTAGAAAGACCCTGGTTTTAATTAACTTAGTTTATGCTGATTAGCTGCAGCTCATCAGAGTTTACTCCTTTCCAGATCTTCCTGGTATACCAAGAATTCAACCTGGACCTTCTGTTTTACAGCATAAACTTTGGCACTTAGCTATGGAGCTTTAGGACAAAGGCTGAATCCACTGAACATGTTAAAAAGAAAGATATAGAGAGAGAGAGATTCACTGAACTGTAGTACAAAATATATTTGTATTGATCAGCTTGCACTGCTTTGAAGACTGCCAATGTTACTCTCAGAACAAAGTGAGAATTAAGCAATTCTAACAGTACTTCCCTTTCTTTTCTGCTCCCATAATAAGCATGGCTTGTTCATTTTTATCCCACAATTGTTGTAGCAGCATGATACATTGTGAGTGTTCTTTGACATTAAGGCAGTCCATGAGGATTAGAAACATGCACAGTTCTCATCAAAATAAGGAGGAAGAAATCAGTATTGACAAAAGGAGAAATATCCTTTAGGTCTTTAGGATTCACTCAATTCAGTTTAGAAGACACCAAGGTGATGCAGCTATTGCTCTTCGATCCTGCAAAAGGTTTGAACTGCAGTAAGCAGCAGTTTAGCCATAACGTGAAAAGATTCTGTTGACTTAGGTGCACGTGCTATTACAATACTTTGAAAACTTTGTTAGATAAAGCATGGGTAAAGTAAATAATACCCAAGGCAACCATGTATAAATCAGTACATATTATCTCTGAAAATTATTAAGGATAATTGCATTTTGCAATTAGGAATTTTATGTAACTAGGAAACCTGATGCACATTCTTCTCATCATAATCCAATATCCTTACCTGTTATACTAAGACTATCCTGCCTTGCACAATGCCATATCTCCCTCCCCCTCCCCCCCCCAAAAAGAAGGCACTCTAGTCTGCTTCTAGATTATGTATATACGTGTACTTTGGAAAAGGTCAATACCATTATCTCAGCATAAAACATTATTAAAATAGCTCTTGTGGTAAAATATGTAGAAGGTCCTTTTTTTGAATCTATAATTGAGGGGGTAAAAAATCATAGGAAAGATTTCTGTCTGTGATTCAATAAATCTACTTGCAGTTAGAATCAAGGTGCTAGGTTAGCTGAAGCTACTGTATGTTGCTTTAAAGCAGATAGCTGCATATCTACAAAATGAATTGTTTATGTTCTTAACATGTATATTATGCTATTAACAACAGTGAAGGAGTTTTCCTTGGCACTTCAAAGCAGTGCACACTTTATAATTCATAGGTACCTGTAATATCTGTTTGATCATCATCAGTTTCTATCGCTGCTGCGGCTGCTCTGTTTTTCTTCTCCAACTCTTTCATTTCAGGCACGTAGAAATCCCCTTGACGTGCAAGGGGGCATATAAAATAGATTTTATCCCCTTTGTAGATCTCCAGTCTAGGATGGGCACATAGTTTCCGCTCCTAAAATACATAAGGCACATAGCATTGAAGATATATTTTTCTCTACCATTGTGTTACAATTAATAAATGCATTCCTGAGCACTATATCAAGATTAGGAATTGCCAGGTTGTAGTTTCTTGGTATTCCAGGGTGATATTCCCATCTTTAACATGAATACTATGATATATTCAGCAAATCCAATGTTCTTTGTCATTTTCAGACACCACGAGATCAAATTTATAAATGGTTCAGCATCTTGTGAAAATGGGAAAGGGCTTTAAGGCTCTGAAATAAAACATATAACCAATTGCAAAGCACTGAGAGTGCTTAGCAGATCAATGAACTCCTTCAAGGAGCTGATCCATATTTCATTGTGCTAAATTATATAGCCCAGGCTTTGAGCACCAATTCCAAATGGCATGAGATTCATTTCAGAAAGACCATATGACATACAGCAGTGGTTAAAAAAAATATCTGAGAAAGATTTCAATCTGATTCCACTTCTAAATTATCATGAGAAAGGTGTCATTAATTTACGTTTCCGCATTTTCTCTTCCAGGTTTATCTATAAGCTTGCTCCCAGCTCAGCTGCTTTTGGAAAAGGCCAAACGTTAAATGGCAGAGAATTCTAATTTTCATATACGGTAGAAAGACCTATCGAATCCTGATATATTGCGGAAGGAGAAGAGAGAGGAGGGGAAGGCAAGGAAGGAGAGATCTGAGATTCTTGAGAAAAAATAATATATGTAGCTCAGGAGTCCTGGATACTTTCTGAGCTTGCTCATTTGCTTGCAGACATTTCCTTATCCAACTAGGTAAGAAGATCAATTCTTGCACTATGAAACTGAGTTTGTAAATCTGGATAAATAAAACATGAATTAATCCAGGTAAAATACCTTAATTATTTTCATTGTCAGTTAGCCTACTAAAATAACCGTAACACTGATTATTGGGTGTGTATCAGGGGTGGGTTTCAACCGGTTCGCGGCGGTCCCTGCGAACCGGTTGGTCGGCGAACCCGGAAGTAATTAACTTCCGGAAACGGCGAAGGGCCCATCCGCCCTCCCGCGCTCCTTTCCCGGTTTTGAC